GCGCAGTCGGTGTCAATTCTAGAGGTTAGTGTTTATAAAGTATTTCTTTGTCCATGACATTTTTCAGAATGCATTTTATCTCCTGTGGTATTCACTTACTCAGAGAGAGAGAGAGAGAGGCCCTCGCTGACACGCCCTCATTCCTTTCTTTTGTCATTTGTTCTCTTGCCCTGGCCTGCTACACTAGCTACTACCCGACCGTAAAGCTTGTTACTAGGAACTACACTAGCTACTACCCGACCGTAAAGCGTCTTACTAGGAACTACACTAGCTACTACCCGACCGTAAAGCTTGTTACTACTTACTAGGAAATACACTAGCCACTACCCGACCGTAAAGCGCGTTACTAGGAAATACACTAGCCACTACCCGACCGTAAAGCGCGTTACTAGGAACTACACTAGCTACTACCCGACCGTAAAGCGTCTTACTAGGAACTACAATATTGTAGCTACTACCCGACCGTAAAAGCTCATTTCTAGGAACTATTATTTAGCCGCCTTTATACCATATCTGACCTCCGTACAAACACTGAACTGTCACTATTAATAAACCAACACTCAAATCATAAATCTTAAGAAATCTCGAGTATTTGGTGCAGCTTAACAATTCACCTCAATCGAGAAACATATACTCAGAATCTGTATCATAAAATACTATCTATTGTCAGAGTCAACACTTATTGCAGTTTTTCTAGAAATCCTGATTTTTTAATTGGCTATTTTTTATTGCTTTGCGGCTAATTGATACGATTTTTCTTCAAATTCAAAACCCCAAGCAGACAATAGCGGTTTCGAAGTGAGCCGCAGCAGTGCGACATTCTAGTAGGAAACTATAACTTCTTCACTTGCAGAAATGTCCCGACAGCTCCGGATTTTCATGAAAAATACTGAAATTATTCCTGTTATTACATCTCGAAGTTTCTGTTATGATCCAAAAATCCACAAGTTATGATATTTTGGTAGAAATCGAGACTACTCTAGACCCATAACGCAAGCCCTATTAAGGGGACCTGTATACCTCCCTAAAAATCGGAAATTTTGGCTTTTCCGTTTTCTTGACTCATCTTGTAGCTGCTGAAAAAGCGCGTCTAACGCAGTTTACCGCATGTCTGTGCGTGCTATAGTTTTTGCGTAAGACAATTTTAAAATATATAAAATGAACATTTTTTAACAATATGTAAAAGATTTATTTGACTTAAATCTGTATATATAGATCATTACTTTCGTTAATTACTAAGTGTTTGCACTCGTTTGAAAGCTACAAACGAGACGCGTTCAACAAAGCTATCAACCATAGATGTACATGCAATATTTTTTCGTGTAATGCAGTATTAAACTTTAATAAAATGAACATTTTATAACATTATTCACTAATAAATGGTATTTATATGTCATTATTTAGGTTAATTGCAAAGTGTTTGCACTCGTTTGAAAGCTACAAACAAGACGCGTTCAACAAAGCTACTACCATTGATGTACGTGCAATAGTTTTTGCTTCATGCAGTTGTAACGTTATGTAAAATGAATATTTCATATATATATATATATATATATATATATATATATTTATATATAAAAAGTCCAATTTATAGCTTATTATTCACGTTATATTTGACATAAATAGGTCTAAAGACGCTTGCTGGTACCCTAAATGCAAATAATTGGCAATGGGAAAAATTGGGCTACAATATCAGGACTTTTTTGGGTATATTCTCCTGTTTTCAATGAATTTTACTCTATTTGGCTCCCCTGAACAATTTAAATTTTCGTTTTTTGTCTTTTTGAAAACCTATCTCCTCTTACAGTTTTCAAGCTACAGCAATGAAAGTCATATCATTCGATTTGTAAAGACCATACCTATCGACTCTAGAAGTCTTTTTTTTCAATTTATGCATGGTTCGTCTTATATATGGGGGAGAAGGGGAGGAGGGCAGGGAAAAAGTGGGAAAATGGGAAAAACGCGCATAAAAAAAACTATGGGGAAAATAAAAAAAAAGGCTTCTAGAGTCGATAGGTATGGTCTTTACAAATCAAATGATACGTGTCTTGGTGTTGTAGGACGATATTTGTAGGAGGAGATAGATTTTCTATAGTACCCGTTTTTGGCCGTTCCATCAATTTTTCGGAAAATTCATAGGAGCAAAATGTTCTTTTTTTACATTTTACGGCTGTATGTGAAGTTTCACTATGATCGGATAATAACTGCAGAAGTTTTTACGGAGGGAGGTAGGTCCCCTTAATAAATATTTTCTATCTTATCACGAATTGACAAACTATTTGTTATTTCCCACGCAGAACACGCGTTTTCCAATGACGCTGCCGGGGTCTGCACAGCTCATAAGTTGCGTGGAAGCTTCTGCTGCGTTGCCGACGGCGACATTAACGTTTACGTTCGCAAGGACTTCGTGCGGAATGGTCTGAATCTGTTGCTGATATTTCTATTTATTGCAGGATTAAATGAACACACGTGCATCCAGCAGTTATTTATATATTTATATATTAGTTATTATCATAATTATTATGTCACACCCGAATTTCATGGATTCTTGAAGGAAAGCGGTACATTTCGATACATACTTCCATAATTTATAAATTTTTGAACAATATGATAATTATACCGTTTAAAATAATCACGACAGGAACTTATCAAAAAGAGTGGTAGCTCAAAAAGATGAATGTACTAAAGAATATAATAGAATAGAAGCGTCGGCGTTGAAGAAATAGGCCCATGGCAGCGCTACCAACCAAGGGTTGGAGATGCTGAACTGAATTTTTCTCATTCATGCGGCGTTTAGACAAGTTATTTGCGGGTCGCTGCGAAATTATTAGATAAAATTGTGAAATTTCACATAAAAGTTTGCACGCATGCCCTAATTTGAGAAATCTTGCTTCGCATTTTGCGAAGAAACCTTGCTTCCTAATTTGCGTGCATTCATCTTCAATAAAGAAGCTCCTGTTGAAGAGGGAGAAGCCTGTTCATGTTATCTACTTGTTGAGAAAAAGAAACTCTTTGCTGCAAGCGCTTCAGTGCCGCCGCGCTCATTACAGTCATTCCAACTTATCGACGTAAACTGACAGAACCCATGTAAATCTAGGGTTCGCCAAAAACTCAATTCGTTTTGCCTTTTTGGAGACTTTTTGCTCTCCAGACAAGCGACCCCAGAAAATACGGCCCCAGACAAGCGACCCACTGCCGGAAAATAATAGCACCGTAGGTATTCAGCCAATGCTTCAAGCATGTTTGCTCATTAGCAAGCAGTTCCTCATCAGGCTGTACCTACTCCGGCCTTACCTCTTCTGGAAGGGGAGCGTCTGGGTCCTAAATCGACAATATTGGCTTTTCCATTTTTTAGTCTCATCTTACAGCTGACATTCTGACCTATCCAACGGTACCTAAACTATCCCTGTACGTTGACTTGTGCGTTCACGACATATCGCGAAACTGTTAGGGGTGGTGGAGTTCTTTAACATTTAACATAGGCAATAATTCCCGGCAATGCACTTAAATAGCCGGTCTGAACACGCTCCGCTTTAGTTACCCAGATGCAGTCATGCGGGATGGTTCTCGTGCAGTCGTTCGCACCATCCTTGACAGAAATTGACCTCCAGTAACGTCTAGTCATGCATCCTTGCAACATTGAATGCTTATTTCGAGGCGCTCGGGACTTTGTCGCGCTCTACTGAACATTCACACTTATAGTCACTGCAAACCTATCGCCTCCTAGAGTTTTTAAGCTACAGCGATGAGAGATATACCGTTCGATTCGCAAATAAAAGATCTAGAGATTGATCGTAGCTTTTTTCGATTTCGTTATAATTTTGAAAATATTTTGAAAAAGGGCGAAATCGAAAAATTTTCGAAAATTTTACGAAAAATGTCCCGCCACTCACAAAAATTTGAATTTCGAAAAAAGCTACGACGAATCGATAGATATGGTCCTAACGCTTGAAAATCCTAAGAGGAGATAGTTTTCTACGGTACCCCCTTTTTGATCGTTTTCTAAGAATTTCACATTTTCTTTAATTTTTTCGAAAAATTTACATGAGTAAAAGCCGTCTATTTTTCTGTTTTACATATGTGTACCAAGTTTCAAAGTGATCCGTCTGTAAATAACCGAGATAGTTTTTTACCCAGACGCTGTCTTGTCTATTCACGCTGTCTTGGTTCACAACCTTGCAGCCAATGACTGGCTCTACCAGCACACTTGGACCGCCTTCTTACTTTCTGCAGCCAATGAGGTTAGGTTAGGTCGCTCAGGTATGTTTTGGTTGGAGAAATGTTGCAATTTGTGTAGGTTAGGCTGGAAAAGGTTTGGCCAGATGCAGTATGGCCATGCTTACCTTTAGCAAGCTTATTTTGTGGCTGTGGAAATCCGACGCCAAGACTGAGCACTTGACTTCATAGGCTGTTATGTCCTCTAGCGTTTTTACCTACTGAAAGAAATATGAACTAGGTGTTTTCTTTGACAAAGCTGGCCTCCGGCATGCGTCCCCAAGCAGCGAAATGACAACTGATAGCCCTTTTGCCTGGCGAAACTGTGTCCGCATGACCGACGTATGAGCAATTTGGACATTCAAAAATTCTCGCACATTTATTTGAAGGTAGGGTAACATGGGGCAACGGGACCACTGCGGGTCATGGGCCCATAGCGGGTTTCCCGCTAAGTATGGCAGGTATTGGTCCGTGCGCTCTACCGCCGGTCGACAGTTTTCACACGTATCAATTAAAACTTATCAAATATTTAGTTTAAAAAAAGGGGTGAGAGCTCTGCCCCATGTTACCCTATGAGAATATCATCTGCCAAAGACACAAAGGTTTACGCATAGAAAAAAATGTATAACTATTCATAGGGTTGACTTTCAAACTGCAAAAAAAAAACAAGTCGACAAATAATCAAAACGCTCGTATTAAACAGGCTTCGTGGTGCAATGATTTGCATGTATGGAAACGTATCTGGGCAGGGAAAATTAAAAAAAAAAGTTTAATTGAAATTGTTTATTATCTTGTTATTACAACTTTTCTTTGTAAATAAACTCTGCTGACTACTAATTTAGAAATCACCGCTAAAATTAATAAGGAAAAGTGCGTTGATTTATATGTTTAAGTATAACCTACGATACCAATCGAGCAACAATAACGAACGATTTGAATTATTTTAAAAATGAATTTAAAGTTGAATTATTAAAATTTTTTAATTTGATCTAATTGAAAGTTGATTTTGTTTGCCGAAATTGTTTTAATCTTCAATTTGCAATATTCATCTTCTGTTGATGAACAAATTACAAATAGTTTTTTCTGTTGTTACAGAGCTATTCTCCTTATTCATGTGCAATCGTGTCTAGTTTGTAAATGCAGTTGAGCGCGGTACGTACCTGCCTACGTTGCTACGACGTTTCGAAATCGTCATTCAAGACTGGCGGAGCATAAAGGGAGGAGTGGTGGGGCAGGCTATTTACTACCACGTCCTCCTCATTCAGCTGGGCGCATTACGTCGAGCAGTTAACATTCCAGCATAAAATCTAGGCAGTGAATGAATAGCCATCTAAATTCAAGTAAGTGAATAGAATAAACATAAAGCTTTGCCAAAACAGTGTTCAGATTGAATGGGTTTACTACCGTTAGGAACTCTTCCGATAAAAAATTCACCACATTTCTAACTAAAACAATATTAAATATTTCCTAAAATTCATTTTAGGTCGTAATGCGTTCCCCTGTGGTTCTATTCAACCAGTATCCTTTGGCACTAGACCGCAATACTGCGCTCTATGGCTGGAGTGGCGCGCCTACCTGGTGTTGCTATACCACCTAGAGATTGACGCACCACTTTGAGGCTACGTCTACGCCAGGCCGTAATACGTTGCACTGTGGTTGGAGTAGCGCACCTCCCTGGTGTTGCTGTACCACCTAGCAAGTCTCCAGGCGCTGTCATACCGTGACACTTGCTCCATGGCGCCTGGACGATGTGGCGTCATCGTCGCGTTTTTAATGATCCCACTGACCAGGGTGGAAAATTTCACTAAATTTTAGCAATGTAAGAACAAAATTTCACGCTAATAACACAATATATATGTATAGATATATATATGATTTAAACTTACGTTATTTGTTGAAACGTGAGTTTCAACACAGTAAAAGCGTGAACATTTCTGTGAATTGGCGATTACCTAAGTAAAAATCGTTCATGGTGTAGAGGAGTGAAACCTGGACTGTTCTGAATGTCTTTTTAATAAATAATCTAGAATTATTTGCGATGTTGGCGGATTGACCCTGAAGTCCGGGTTAGTAGCCACTTAAAGCCTTATTCTGTCTGCGCCACCGCAAGGAACAGGGAACATTAATTACTGTGTACTTTATAATCGGATATTTTAAAGTAGGACCAGTGCAGTTGTCTTATTTCGTGATCTTGCAGTTAAGTGTGTGAAATTATAACTGTCCAAATTTGGGTGTTAAGCATTCTTGTTAAGCTTTATTATGTGTTTATGGCTTGCCCAATTTGTAAACATAGCCGTAATGTTCATCTCTCATGCAGGGAGACCTTCGAAGTCTAGACTAGACTTCGATTCTTGCACAATTGTTGTCATCTTTCGTTTTGAATGAAATCTTAATATTTGATCGTATTTGTTTCCTTAGTGTGATGAACTGCGAGAAGCGTGTCGAATCTGAAGGGTTATTGCGGAATAAGTTATGGTTTTTCATTACGCCCAGTCAATAAGGGCCCCGTAACAATGGTTCCGAAAATTTTCGCCCACAAAAATGTTACCACCAGTTTGAATGGCTACACAACAATATTTTAAACACACAAGTATATTACAAACATAGTGTATTACACATCCCGGTACATTACAAATACCAGTATTTTACTCATACCAGTATGGTGAGATGGGACAGGCCACGACGTATAGTGTGGTGTGTGGAGTGATGTCCGTGATGGTGTACTGCATCACACCTTCGTAGTTGTCAAAAGCGTGATCCGGGTAAGTGTGTAGGCACTGGGGAAAAACTTTTTCTGTAAATTTTACCCAAGTTATAGTTATATAAAAAGTATTTGTACAATTACATAATATGACTGAAAAGTTATTATTTTACTTACTAAAAGAATTTAGCCCGGAAGTTCTATCTATTCTATCCTTGCCCGTAGAATTTTTCTCTTCAAAAGTAATTTTAAAATCACGCACTTTATATAAGTTGTTAACCTTTTTTAATCAGAAATAACGATAATTAAATTAGTATTTCATACATGGAATATGAATAAATAATAATTGAACATGATTCGCCAATCGATTAATTATCATTGAACATAGTTTGATATTATATAAGTTACCTTGTCGAACTATTTTCGACAAGTTAGTATTATCAGTCGCAATTGTCTACATTTTTCATATTACCAACCAATAATATTATTGTATTATCGACAATATTGTCTCTATCACTAACCTTAGCCAGGAGAACGAGGGACGAATTGAGGTCGTTGTGCGAGTTGGCCTCCAGATGAATTATGACGGGACCGGGCCGCTGGGGAAATTTAACATTCACTAAGATTCATTGATTACTTAAATTGCTAAATTGCCAGGAATTATTTTACCAGGAATGAATGAAAATGATATCGAGTTTAACATATACTAAGATTCATTAATCACTTCTAGTGTTTATTTACCAGGAATTAATGATTATGATATCGAGTTTAACAAATACTAATATCTTTACATTTTTCGAATTGTTAATTTACCAGGAATTTAAAATATTATGGATTTTCTGTCATATTCTTCATTTTGCATTGCAATTCTCAATTTTAACAAAACATTTCCCTCCAAGCAAATGACGTAGAAACATCGTTGATTACGAATTGAATTCAGTAAACCACATTTATTCAACGCTATTTCAACGTTAGGTGTCTGGTGGGTTGGTAACAGCATAGTAGCAAACTGGAGACTCGTCTTATTAAACTATTTTTATTTGTTTGACCTAAGACTAAGAAGAAAATTATTAACAGAATTATTAAGCATTAGAGATATTTTCAAGAAGCTCGGAAAGTTCCGCATAAGCCATAATGTAATCTCTCTCATGTACAAATTCAGGAGCCAAAGATGGGTATATACTGTATTTCAACAGTATGATTATTCATAGCAAAATAATTTTTCATTTGAGTCATTTGAAAGCTTGCACTTGATGAAAATCAAGTGCAAATGATTTACCAAAATCAATATATTAATAAGCAGAGACTTTTCGGGATTTACATGTTTATTCAATTTAAAGGATTTGAATCCCGACCATGCCTGAGCATGCCACTTGATAATTCAAAATTTTTATATTTGAGTCTTTATAGAAAGTAGCTACTGTTTACTGGGATAAACTGCTGGAGCAAAAGAGATTGGAATCGGTCCATTTAATAATCTTTAGTAAAGCAAGTCAATGAATGATTGGAAGCTGTTAAGGCATTCACAGTGAACTTTTTTTAGCTCTAGTCACCAGTTCCTCCGGAATAGTTTCCACGAGGCAGGGGTTGAAGCCATTAGCCATTGAAAGGACTTTCGCCCTTCTGAGTTCACTCGAAAAATAATCAGCGTAGACGTTAGCTTGGAGTCTGAAATAAGTTTGAATATTTTGATCACAAACTAGAAAGGAATTTCGGGTTAGAAGAAAAAATGCATAAATATAGGCATATATGACAATTCAATTAAATAGGGCGTTATATTATAGTTCTGCAAGCTTATTACAAAAATTGCAGGCAAATTGGAAGATTCTTCAGTTAAAATAGTCAAATAAAGCCTACAGAACAATCTATATCTGTGGCAGTTTAATTGTCCAATTCCTTCAATCATAAAAATAATTTTTAATCTCCCTGTGGCTTCTAAACTAAGTGGACCTCTCAACTATATTGGTCTCTTGGCTATAGGCGTCTCTTATATGTGCATCTTTTGGCTATGTGCGTCTCTGAGCTATACATATATGTATGTCTCTGAACTTTGTGGGTATTTGAACAGAGCGCGTCCCTGAACGATGCCTATAATACAACCAAGTAATATCATTTTGTAGCTGAATTGAGCCGAAATATTTATTGGAAGCATGCAGTCAAGAGTATCTATAGCAGCCTTCTTTTTAGTTATTGATTCAAAATTCAGGTTTTTCTTTTAAATGTGTCCAAAAATATGGCAAGCCAAGAGTTCTCAAATAAATATTTTGTCGGACTTATTCAAGTCGAATGTCTTCCTTGTGGCACGTGGTTAAGTTAGGTTAGGTTAGGTTAGTTAAAAGATGGATAGCAAAAGAAAAATGAGACTAACATACAAGTGTAAATTTTTAAGCTTGACATCTGGGTCGTGGTTGTAGATCATATTGGAGAATATGAGGGCTTGGCTCCATCCATTGATGTGAGCTCCAGACGAACCAGAGTGGAAACTTCGGGACACTTCCGGGACCAGTGAATGCCGTCCCCGACGAAGACGCGGATGATGTAGCCTCCAATCCCAGTCCCAAGATGTGTCCTGTGAAATAATTTTTTGTTATGGAATTTCTTTGAAATTTTGTTTTTCGCGTGTGTTGCCAGTGGGAGAAGTATCCAAAAGCTCCTATTGTTGGATACGACTAAAAATGTCCACCAGAAACCCGACCTGTCGAAAATGCCGGGTTATCCCACGACGTGTAGGGAGATCAGGGGCCAGTTATAGTCGATCAACAGCAACATCATCCAAAAAAGTCACCTTGGTTTGAACGTGCCAGTGAAGTTTTCGCGGTGTTTTTTAGTTGTATTTTTCATTTTTGTTTCTCATTCTGTTTTGGACGCCTTTTCTCATTTCAACTTTCAATGACCGATTCTGAATAGTAGGTATAAAGTGCTGAGAAGGATGAATATTGCTACAAATTTGAAAAAGGAATCATCTAGAATTTTTATTTCGTTCGACAAAGGCAAAATCTTTTTGCATCGAAGCATGCATGATCGTGGTGTGCACAACCAGACGGATTATGGTTAGGAGTCTTGACTCTTGCGTTCGTTGTTGCACTGCCTGAAAACTATTGCATTATAATTGATCTCTGCATAATACATCTCCGCAAAACCCAACACTGTTCTTGTGCATCAAGCACCAGAACGAACTCCTTCGGGAAAAAAGTCTGGTTTGCAGCAGTTTTAAAAAAATCATACATTTTCAGACATTCACTGCCACTGCAAACCTTTCATAAACTTTTTTCTTGCTCATGGTTAGCACACTATTTTATAGCCTGCGTATTTCAATAAATTTTGGATTTTTCCACATCTTTATTGTGAAATCTCGCATATACAATCTTGTGCCCCAGGGACTGGCAAATTATTTTACCCAAGAAACCTTATTAAGCAGTTATGGCCGCATGAAGCCCAAACTCCGTGCTGTTCCACTCACCGAGTTGTCGACCCAAAAATGAAGGATTTCTTGAGCGTATTCCCTTGTAACCATCCAGCCGAACTGGGGGAACATTTGTGAGCGCCTGACACGCGTGGCGTCAGCGGCGACCGTGGGGCAGCTGTTGAGGGAGAAGCTGTTCACGACGTAGAGTGTGGCGTCAGCGTCCAGCAGCCACGCCGTCTGGTGGAAGTAGCTGCAAATGAAAATAAAATAACGTAGTGTGGCGTCAGCGTCCAGCAGCCATGTCATCAAGTGCATAGTTTTTAAAAGGTGTGTGTGTGTGTGTGTTGGGTACGCAGCCGTGCACCACCAAATATGTGCACCAATCAACCATGCAAGGAACGTCTAGCATATTTCCGGATGACCACAAATCAGCCGTGGATTAAACCATCCGTCGGTAACTAGCCCGTGATATCATCTTGCTTTAAATATTAAGAGCTTTGCGCCACCACATTCTGAAGCGAATAGCCCAGAGAGTAATGGTTGTCCACCATTGAACGTTGCATCGAACCATCACTTCATACCCTGACTATCTCGAACTGTAACTTGCGGACAACGGACTGAGACCAACCAGCCCTGCTCGCCAGTGAAACTGCATGCATCCTGCCGTGCACCACCATACGGTAACTTTTAGCTCACAACATTGGGGTTAGGCTTCCGAAAGCATAGTTCTGTTCCAAAATCCATCGTCCTTCGACGAGCGACTTCCCCAGCTTCGCTAAATTACTTAACTTTTAGCTCACAGCATCTGGGGTTAGGTTTCAGATAGCATAGTTCTGCTCCAAAATTTATCGTCGTACGACGCGTGACCGTTCGACCGTAGGCTGATTCGACACACGGGACAGATACGGACGGCTCCGGCACGCTCCGTCCGGGTGGTGTAAATTTTTTTCACGTATTGGTATACGATGCTGGGCCATTCTACGTCAGGCCATTTTCCTGTGGGCTTAATGGCCTAATTCAATGGATGTGATCTGTCAGGCGGCTTGCGGCTGATAATGATACACTCAAAAAGTATTATTGGCTACGTTCTTGAGGGAAGGGATCAAGGGGCCAGCTAGTCCAAGGGGCCAGCTAGTCCAAGCTTCTGACTATGTGTTTTCCCATCATCGCACTACCTAAACATTTTCTGTAATAGCCAAACAAATCTAACCGGATCTAACCTAGCCTTATTGGCTGCTGTAAGCTGGAGAAGAGGAGAAAGTAACGATGTGGAGCGGGTTATTGGCTGCAAGAAGGTGGAGGGGTAACGTGATTGGCTTGAGCAGCGACTGTGGTTTTGCGTCGATTTACCTTTACGCAGTTCGGATATACTTTTGGCTTTCGGTGTTTCTATAGAGCTTGATGTGCGATTTCGTAGCTATGATGCTCTGTGTATGTTTAGGCTGAGCGTTGGCTCCAGGGCTAGTTTTAGTGTACAGTGTAGCCAACTGATGCGCCTAATATGTGGGAAATGATCGAAACATCGTTGAGTGCAGTATCAGCCTTTAGAAATCTCGAAATAAGGTGTGATTTCTAATCTTTCTAAGAAATTTTTAAGGAATAATCTACCATGATAGAGAATAGAGTTATGTTACGTTTACCATAAAGAACTTGCAGCCATTTGTCCAGAAACAATGGTCACGCATACGATCGTTATGATGAAAAAGTTCGCCAGTCTTTGGTGTTCAAAAATTTTTGAAGCAAAACATTTTACCAGAAATAAATAACCGAATAAAGATGCAGTAGGCGTTGTTTGTTCTCACACATCTTGAAATTTTATAGAATGTAATAGAAGTGTCGGCCTTGAAGAAATAGGCCCACGGCCTGTTGCCGATTCTTGAACTTTTCGTGACTTGATTCACAAGGGATCCGGCCTTTGGAACCCGATCTTTCCATAACTGACGCTTGATTGAGATAGCTGCTGGACTTATTGCCTGGTCCGTAATTTGCTAGGCATTTTAAGACTGAACATATACTCCTGCATTGCTTTTTCTAGTCTGTTTTTGAAGGCGTTCATACTCGGAGGGCCAACGATGCTATCAGAGAGGCTGTTCCACATGTCGGTGACTCGAAGCGAGAAAAAATGTTGTCGTATGGATGTGCTACAACGCAGTTTTTTAGTTTATAGCCGTGGCCCCTAGTGTTGGTTCTTGTTTCAAATTCTAGTAATCCTTCTGGGACCTTGTATAAGCCATGAGTATACTTCTATGCTTCAATGAGGTCACCACGCAGACGTCGATAACTGAGGCTTTGAAGCTTCATAATCTTTCCTCATAGGACTTGCCTTTCAAGCCCGGAACTATCCTTGTTGCGCGTCTTTGAACACTCTCTATTTGATTTTTGTCTTTTTTCAAATTTCGGTGACCTCACGACATTTCCAAACTCTAGGTTCAGGCGCACGACAGCAACAAACAACTGTTTCATCGCTTCTGCATCTAGGAACTCGAAAGAGCGTCTGATCAGTCCAAGTCGTTTATTGGCTTTATTAACTTGACCTTCAATATGCTTAGAAAATTTCAACTCATAGTCGATATTAACTCTTAAATTTTTTTCATTGTCGACTACGACATCATCACTCTGTCGTTGCAACTGTCTTCTCATACTGTAATCTTGCTGTTCATTATTCTTGCCAAAGTGGATAACCATACATTTGTCAGCGTTAAAACGCATCTGTCACTTATCAGCCCAGTCAACCAGCCTGTCAAGATCACCTTGCAACTGTACTTTTTGCGACGTATTATTCACTGTATTATAAATTTTTGTGTCGTCAGCATACATCGAGCAAACGCTAGACACAGCTTCTGGCAGATCGTTTATCAACGCAACGAATTGAATAGGCCCAAGAACGCTTCCTTGTGGCACGCCGCTGCGCACTGAAGCCCAGTCTGATACGGACTCGTTAATACTGACACGTTGTCGCCTCCCTATTAGAAAATCTCTGATCCATTTGAGTACATTACTCTCATCCCAACGACTTCAATTTACGCAACTGCCGCTCATGTGGGACACTGTCAAAATGCCTTGGCAAAATCAACGTACACTGCATCTACTGGCTCCTTTTCGTCCAGCAGGCGGGTCCATTCGTTTAGAGCAGATTAGAGGTTAGTGGTGCAGGATCTCCCGGCAATAAAGTCATGTTGACAGTCTGATAGGAGATTTTTAGCAGTCAAATGATCTATCAATCGATCCCTCGCAACAGATTCCACTTCCTTGCTAACGACACTTGTCAAAGTGACAGGGCGATCGTTCCCCGGGCAGCTTATGCCACCTTTTTCAAATTGTGGTGTCACTTGCGCTTATTTCCAGTCAGCCGGCAAGATCCCTTCGTTCAAAGTTTTTCGAAAAAATGACGTCAGAGGGCCGGCTAGGACAGTTGCTAACTCTTTGAGTAATCTGGGGTGGAAGCCGTCTGGTCCACATGAGTTGTTTGGATTTACAGCGATAAGGCGCTTGAGAACCTCTTCTTCTTGTATTTCAAAAAAATTTAGAGCCGACTGGGCGCTCTTCAATAGCTGGAATACTGTTCGAGTCCTCTTCAGTGAATACGCTACTGAAAAAATAATTAAGTTCTTTAGCCTAACCCTCATCAGATGATTTCTTTCGTTGATCTACTTTCAAATCAGAAATACCGTCCTTCATCTAGCACTTCGAGCTAGCGTACAGAGGAAGGCTTTCGGGTTCTTTCTTGCATTTTTAGCAATACTTTTTTCGAGGGTTTTTACTGCGGTGCGAACGCTTTCTTTAGCTTGAATTCGAGCTCATGCGTATAGGTTATAGTCAGCATCGCTACGGGTCTGTAAATAACGCTGGCAAGATTTCTTCTTTGTTTTCAGCTTAGCTAAAATTGTACTGTTCATCCACCGAGTTTTTGTGGCTCCACCAAGCTTAATTTTAGGTACACGCGCATCAACTGCAGACATAACCGTGTCCTTGAGAAATGACCATGACTCAGCCACATTCATGTCCTTAATACAGTTCGAAATATTCACTACATTCACTGCTTCACGGAGTTTATCATAGTCACCTTTCGCAAAATTCAAACGCTTACGCTTCCGAGGCGTCTTTTCTGTACAACACTTAAGTCTGAAAAACAATGATTGATGATGGCTTTTGCCCAACGGAGCCTCGTGACGAAGCTCGTCTAACATTGATTCATCACTAGTAAACACCAGGTCTAGAATATCGGGAGTCTGTTTACTTCTATAATGGGTTGGTTTGGTAACGTGCTGGACTAGGAAGGAGTCTCTTACTGACTCCATGAACAAGGATGCTGGGTGATTCTCTTCCCTTGGAGAAGATCCATCTATCCAGTCTAGCTCTGGATGATTAAAATCACCAACGATTAACGTGTGTGACCTACGGAAAGTAGTGCTCGGTAAAAGACTGTTTAATACTTTATCGTTGCATAGCTATCGATCTATGCGTAGCTATCGTATACCGACCGCCTGACTGCCCGCCAGAAAAATTCAATGAAACTCTCGATAGAATGGAAACAGAGGTGACCAGCTTAGGTGAACCTTCCCCAAATATTGTGGTTGCGGGAGATTTTAACCTACCACACATACGATGGCCAAACTTGGACTGTCTAGAACGGCGCAGAAATCAAACCAGAAACCAGGCAACCCAACTACTTCGATTCGCTAGGGAGTACTTGCTAAGCCAACAGGTTCTGGTGCCAACAAGAGAACAACATAATATCCTGGATCTATTCTTCACCAGCAATGAAGAACTGGTTGCTGATATTCGTGTTGAGGAGGCCACACTGTCTGACCATTGACTAGTGGTGGTCAAGACAACACTTGAGAGGGGAACCCAGCCAAGAACTACACCTCGAGAGGGGCTAGCTGGGCTAAATTTTCATCATCGAAGAACAGACTGGGAGGCTATTGGGAACGAACTCCTCGAAATTGACTGGAGATCTAAGTTCCTGGAATTAAACGTCGAAGCAATGTACAACAAACTGTGCGAAGTATTACTACAGGTATGCGTGCGTTACACGTCTGAAATAACGACCCCTAAACGCTACCTAATTCCGAGGGACAGACGGATCCTCATGAGAAAACGAGCGAGCTTGAACAGCCAGATAACGGCTGCCTCCAGGAAAATAGAGGCGGAGCTGGAACATCTAAAGGTTAAAAATTAAGGAAACTGAACGACAGTTGCAGGACTCACACGAGGCCGAGCAACAAATTGCAGAGGCGCAAGCGGTGTCTGCCATTCGAGAGAATCCCAAATATTTCTACAAATATGCCCGGTCAAAGGCAAAAATCAGAGCCTCAGTGGGGCCTCTGAAAAATAACGATGTCCTTGTTGGAGACGACAAGGGCATGTGCGAACTTCTGGGAGCTAATTTGAAAAGTATTCAGCGAACCCCGATACTCAAGGCAGGAGAACGAAATTGGAGTCATTCAAGAACTTCCAGGGGATCGGGAGCTCGTGAACATTGAGTTTGAATTATCTACGTATTCGGCTCCCGGGCCAGATGCCCTGCAGTATTACTGAAAAAATGTGTCGTTGCACTAAAGGTCCCTCTGACTTTGCTCTGGAAAACATTATTGAGAGAAGGAAATGTTCCAAGTGATCTAAAATTAGGGCTAGTTACCCCTATCTACAAAGGAGGCGCAAGAGACAAACCCCAAAATTACAGGCCGGTTACATTAACATCACACGTAATCAAAGTATTTGAGAAGGTTGTTGTCAGAAGGTTGGTGCAGTACATGGATGAAGCTGATATTTTCAGCAAAAGGCAACACGGTTTTAGACGAAATCGTTCCTGTTTGTCTCAGTTACTGGAGCATCACCATCAAATCCTGGCCATGCTGGAGTAGGAGGCCGGGGTGGACGTGGTGTATTTGGACTTCGCGAAAGCGTTTGACTAAGTCGACCATGGAGTGCTCTTCAGAAAATTAAGACTGCTGGGAGTCGGAGGTGAATAATATTGCTGGCATGGACCCACAGCTTCCTAACAGAAAGACTACAAGCTGTAGTTGTTGGAGGCTCGAGATCGAGCGTGGCTGTGAAGAGGGGAGTACCACAGGGAACGGTACTCGGCCCAATCCTCTTCCTCATTCACATCGCCGACATAGATGTGGCAGTGAACCACGCCATTTCATCGTCATTCGCGGACGACACCAGGATATTAATGACCATCACGGACAGGACGGACAGTGAGAGGGTTCAAGAAGACCTCTCTGCAATATATGACTGGGCCTTAGTGAACAACATGCAGTTCAACACGTCCAAGTTTGAGGTGGTGAGGTACAGAGGACCCGGAAGAGCTGGAATGGATCACGGCTACCTGGCACCTGACAACTCGGAAATCGAAGAGAAGCGGCTCGTTCGCGATCTAGGGGTGTTGATGAACAATCAGGTCAATTTTGGTGATCACATACCGGCAATAACCGCAAAAGGTAGACGACAGACGGGGTGGATCTGGCGGACGTTCAGAACGAGAGAAGCGGAACCGATGATCACACTCTTCAGAGCCATTGTAATACCTATCCTTGAATATTGCTGCCAGCTCTGGACTCCGTTCACACTAGGCGCAATACGGCAACTGGCAGGAGTCCAACGAACCTTTACTTCCAGGATCAGAGGGATGGCGAAGTTTAACTACTGGGAGAGGTTACAGCGACTGGGTCTGTACTCACTGCAGAGGAGATGGGATAGGTATGTCATTCTGTACACATGGAAAATGATAACCGGAATGGTGCCAAACTTCGAGAGCGAGACCTTCAGGATAATGACATATCACAACGAGAGAAGGGGGAGACTGTGCAAGATCCCCCCCTACGTAACAGATCCGCAGTCAGATTTCAATCCCTGCGAGAAGGATCACTTTCCGTGGCAGGGCAAAGGCTGTTCAACGCCCTAACAAGGGATCTAAGAGAGGGGGAGTTCACCCTGGAGACCTTCAAGAGACAACTGGGCGTGTTCCTGGCACAATCCCAGATCGACCTCCCCTGCAACACTACCAGCGGCGAGAAGCAAGCAACAGCATCGCGCATCAGGTGGCCCAAATGAGGGCGGATGAACGATAATCAGAGGCGTCGTTTCATCCTGGCCTGGGACTGCTATGTCCCAAACAAATACCAAGAAGAACTGTTTGGTGATCTATAAACGGCGCCTATGAGGTGGCTATCTTTGCCTTTGAGAGAAAGTTTGCACCACACTGATTCTCTAGCTGATTGATGTTCTGCAGATAACTAGACTTGTTGGGCCCCATAAGAGGTTTTAACCCATAAAGCTACACCTCTACTGCACTGCTCTTCATTTGAGTTATGAAAACAATCAAAACCTGGCAATTGAAAATCAACAGGTACAATTTTCCCTCCGTGATTTTTAGGGAGTGTTTCTGTAATACAAATAATGTCTATGCCCTTGTTTTCGATCACAGTTATTAGTTCACTTATTTTATTCAAAACGGAATCCGAGTCCGAGTAAAAACATTTTAAAGCTTTTTGTGCACTTTAACTTTGATGCACGCGTTTACTTCTTACATTATTTACAGGCCTGGATCTATGGACATGACTTCTTACTTGTCTTCCAGCTCCGCTGACTGACCGTGTGCGGCCGGTGTTGTCTTGACATCGTGAAAATGGTTGACCTGAGTCCCCATGCTTTTCCGCCTGAGTCTCTCCTGCCATTTCTTGCGAAAAATTTCTCTCTCTAAAGGGGTAGCATTCTTCTTAACAAAGACTGAATTAAATTCTGTGAATTCACTTAGTTTTCTCGCAGCCTTAAGCACATGTCCGACCTGGGCTGCATCCTGCAGTTACTAGCAGCGGTCTACAGGTGGTAGCGTCTTTCGATCGCAGCCTCTTGCATGCTGTTATATTCACAACGACGTTAAGTGACTTGGCACAGCAATCAGTAATAAACTCAGCATCCGGAGCATTGCTTTCGGGAACGTTAAACCAAACAAGGTTTAAGTCTTCTTCTCTCTCTCTCTCTAACCAGCAGTTCACGAGTGCTCTCGCTGTCGAAATCAGAGATGACTCTTTGCGGCCTTTACCATCTGTGTTATCGCTATTTTCTGTTTTGTGCAGATGAGATTTCATTTCCACCAGCTCGTTTCGTAACTAGTGTAATTCGCTACGCAACAAGCTCAATTCTTTCTTGTGGTTCTCCATTTCGGCTCTCTTTCTCAACTCTTGCTTGTTGGTTTCTTCCATTTCAGCCTTAAAGACAGAAAACATAGAAGAGCACTTCTCTTCCACCATCTTTTCGTTTTTTACAGCGCTAAGTGCAAGTTGCTGGCAGTCCTGGTAATACCAGTGTACTGACTTGTTTTTGCGAACAACCGAGCAGTCTCTCTTGCTCAATTTTGCACAATTGTTGCAGCTGATACCCCCGCAACGATCACAGGCCACTGTAGCGTCATTGACGTCAAGCGATACCAGCTTGCAAAATTTACAAATTTCCCCTGGCTCACCTTGCGATTTTATCTTCGCATTCGGTTTAACAGGACTGGAGGCCTTTTCAATTAATCTTTTTCCTCTTTAACCAGCCATCATGAAATGCAAGAGCTAAAAAACACAAGTTAAAAACTGAATCAAGTTGAGTAAAAATTGTAAAGTTTCCAAAATGCTGTAAAAACTCGGTTACAGACTTGAGAATAAGCGGCTTTCAGAAAGCGGCGATGTTAGCGGCCGTAGAGGTGTTCAGGTAGATGTGAGCGTGCACATGAAACAAAGGCTGTATTGTTCTATGCTGGCGAGGCAGTGCACGTTGCCCTCGCTTGCTAGCGACCTTCGCTGATTCTAAAGCTCGCGTTATTTAAGATGAAAACACTTTTACTATATGTTTCTTTTTTCTATTCGCACTCTCTTTTACTGACTTCAGTGAAAATTCAGTCATTCACTGACACTGATCATAGAAAAAATGCAAAAAGAGTTCCGAAAACGGCTCAGTGAGAGTTAAAAGTTGAAAATCTGGGACCAAAGGAATCAAGATCTGTGCAAAGGAATCAAGATTTGTCCACGATGGCACAATGGTTGATAACATTTCATTCTGAATAACGTGTATATATCTTATTATGAACTAACCTTATGAAGTCAGGCGAGACGATGAGGTCGTCCTCTAAGATGATGACTTTAGAGGCGTTGCGGAAGGTCGAGAAGGCCGTGAACAAAGAAAATCTGAAGTGCGCGTTGAGGGGAGTGCTGGTACCGGCGTCTCCCTCGTGACGGTGCTCGATTACCGGCAAGCTGGGAATTTAAATGCAATTGGTGAGAGAATAATTATACCATATCACAGCTTTGTTAATCCTCACATAAGAGCAGAGGAAGTATCAGGCCAATAAAAATTTACTTGGAAAGAAATAGTAGTGGTGATAGATTTATTATTATTTCATGAATTTTAAAGTATTATTGAGCTTCTGACCCGAAGATCGCGGCCAGCTGTGCCGTCTCTTCCTGATGACCATCGATGAGGACCAAAATATCGGTTTGAGCAGCACCCGTAGCCAGTAGGAGACTTATCAGCTGCCTATATTACACATTAATTAAGTGATCAGCACTCATGTATAATTATTTGTTTCAATTGATCGCAATCAAGCTCATACAAATCTTGAAGATCACAGGTAACAATAGTTTTTCAATGGAATACAGAGGCCGAGTTACCATTGCTGTCCGATGGTCAGATTCTGTCAGATCAAGAATTAAGGATTTCCTAAACTGTTTCTTTTTGTTCGGGACTTACCGGTAAAAAAAGTGACACTTGGTGGCGGTGAGCATCGCGATAGGGATGATCTCCGACATGGGGATGAAGTTCTTTTGAAGACAAGGTCTTCGTTAGCATCAATGTTACACAATTTGCAAACTGTAATTTAGCTAATAGTTTTTATTTTGAATGTCATGATATATTCTAGACATCTTGACACCTAATGGCGATTTATCGATTGATAAAGAATTTTTTAATTTATTACGAAGTTCAGTGCGGTATGGTCATGTTGAATAGTAACAAAGTAAAATAAGCATGACACGTCTTTCTTAAGTCAAAAATCACCGATGACCGCCGCAGTCGCTGGGGGTCCAAAGGGTCCTTACAGCGGCACAAAGTTCCGTACCCTTCGTAGCGGCGACAAAACTGCGCCTGCTTCTGTCGCCTGGGGTCTCGGTGCCAGTCACATTCTGTTCCTGTATAAGTTATTCACTGCAGATCTCGTTCTGTAGGTAATCATCGATGATTACGTTATTGTAAGAGTTACTCATCATTCTGGTAAGAGAAAATTTTTATTGGATAATTAACCACAATGGATTCTCACCTCGGCCCTTGGCTATGAGCACTGAAACATCAATGCTGGATTGTTTGTTCTTATAACCTTTGAAGACCACTGCTGTTTCCAGATAGACACGCGCCGCAAACTCCTCCTGCTCAAGACTATAAAATTTAACACTAGAATCATTATGAAAACTTTGCTGGGACGGGGCGCGTGCCGGAGGCCAGATTGGCCACACTTCACATATTGTTCATATTTCTTTCCGTAGGCAAGAACGCTAGAGGGCATGACAGCCTATGAAGTCAAATGCTCAAAGCCATAGCGCCGGATGTCCACAGCCACAAAATTAGCTTGCTAAAAGTGAGTATGGCCATACTTCATCTGGCCAAACCTCTTCATGCCTAACCTACAAAAGTTGCAACATTTCTCCACCGAAAACAAACCTGAGCAGACCTAACCTAACCTGTTTGGCTGCAGGAAGTTAGAAAGGCTGTCTACGAGTGCTGGTAGAGCCAGTCATTGGCTGCAAGAAGGTTGTGAGCCGTAACAGCGTGAATAGGTTAGGCCAGAAGAGGTTAGGCCAGATCAGGAACTGCCTGCTTATGAGCTAGCATGCTTAAGCATTGGCTGAAAACCTAGGGCGCTATTATCTATTGGCAGTGTGTCACTTGTCTGGATTACGGAGTTCAAGCGTAGTCTGCGGCTTTTAGGTCTGAGGCTGAGTTAAGTTAATGCATGATGAAGCTGGGCCTTGGCTCCAGGTCTTATTTAAGAGTAAAATTTGTGGCCTACGGCTGCGCCCCCGCTGGAACCTGGTACCCACGGCAAATTTTCATGTGATGAATATCATTAGGTGATGAAAAGCATAAACTTACCTGTACAATATTATTCAGCTGAGTAAATTTTTTATATATTGAACAAGTTTGTACGTGAGTTTCTTTAATTTACATGAGTGATTCTTCTCCCCAATAGCTTTGATCGTATGTTCAAAATAGCTAGTAGTTATAAATTAAAGCACCTCAGCATTTTGTGGTGGCCAGTTTTCGGGAACAACACTGATGAGTATAGACGGGTCGTCAGTGTCAACGTATCCAGTGTATCCCAAAAGTAGATTTTCACCATTTTGCAGCTTTTTCTTCACTTCTCTCCCATCCGGTGTGAGCACCAGTGCCTCGTAAGGTTTTTTAGATCTCTTTGCGTACTCAGCTCTAGCTCGTTGTCTCAGTTGTGCGTTGTCGATGAGGTATGGAGACGAGTCGATACCCTGCGCCAAATCAGCACCTGGATGAATAGGTAGGAGCTGAGGTATGGAGACGAGCCCACATCTTGCGCCACGCCAGCATCTGGATGGATACTTGAATAGGTAGGAGATGAGATATGGAGTCGAACCAATCCCTTGCGCCACGCCAGCGCCTGGATGAATTCTTGAAAAGATAGGAGATGAGGTATAGAGACGAGTCTATCCCCTGAGCAAAGAGGTATTAAGAGCCATCGACGATTTTTCTGAGGGAAACTTTATTCCATGGGCCGTGCTATCAAAACTTGCTTATGTACATATAGAGGATGATTTCTCGTATGTGATTCGTGGGTTGTCTTGGGAAACCGTCAGTAGCTGGCTGACGGTGTTACAGACTCTGATTGATTTTGACATTACGGCACCAGGTACACCAAGGAATTTCCTCAATAAGCATGGCGTAATTAAGTTATGCGCTGGAAAAACAAGTTCACCTAACTTGAGGGCTCCTCCCACGGTGTCGCCCCTCATCCCCAGGTGCTGCAGCAGCATGCGCTCTGTATTCCTCAGGAAGTCCCCGGCAGTGAACTGAATAAAGCATAACATTAATTACCAAACGATTATCCAGTTCCCGTTAGTAATGTTAATAGGCACGAAAATTCTACCTGAAAAATACGTAACTTGCATCACTATCATGACCAAGGAAGTCAGGCCTCAGGCAGTCTAAATTTGAGGGTATGACCGAATTGATCATTCGGTCATACTTCAAATTCGGCCAAAACACTCACCATCATGACCAAGACGACCAGAGCCCCGTGCAGCAAATGGGTCAGAGTCTGGCCCAGCAGTTCAATCTCCGCGGGTTGACCAACACACTCACCATCATGACCAAGACGACCAGAGCCCAGGGCTGCAGGTTGGTCAGGGTTTGGCCAAGCAGTTGAGTCTCCGCGGGTTGACCAACACACTCACGACCATGCAGAGCCCCGTGCAGCAAATGGGTCAGAGTCTGGCCCAGCAGTTCAGTCTCCGCGGGTTGACCAACACACTCACCATCATGACCAATACTACCAGAGCCCCGGGTTGCAGGTTCGTCAGGGTTTGGCCAAGCAGTTCAGTCTCCGCGGGTTGTCGAGTACGGAAGTCGCGACGAAGCATCACTTCTCCGTCGCCTGACAGCGCCAGCGCGTGCACGCCGTCCGTAGCCTCGCCCACCGCACTGTACACCTGACATATTATTTCTACATTAGCACTTGTTCGTATGCAACCCACTGAAGATATACCAATTGAACCGTCTCAAAGGCACAAATTACGATATCCGCTGAAGCGTGTTCAATTAATGTCTTTATTTAAATAACTTTTATTTTTGATTCAAACCTTCCCTCATTTTTTTTCAATCTTTTCCTCGTTTCCCTAAAGGTTTTTCCTGTTTTCTAACCAATAAGAAATTTGATCTTGCAATTGATTATTACAAGCTCAATTTAAAAGACCCGACTAAGTTTTTTTATGTTCTATCGGTCGATCATATGTTCTATGAGGATCATATGTTCTATGTAAAATGTGGGTTTGAAGACATTTATTTTGAATAAGTAAGTTTTGTTTCTACTAACGGGATTACGGGATAAAATTTAGTTTACAAACTTGCTGTAATTATCAAGCCCGGCCAATACTGGGCTAACATGAAAATAAATACACGAGATTGACATAAAAAATAATTCGATAAAATATAAATTTTCTTGATTAATGATTAAAATAAGTTAGTTGAAAATAAATTTAGTTCAAAATAAAATAAATTTAAGGAATTGCGAACCGACAGACTTGTTACTCATACAGCTGTGCCTAAGATGAATATTCTGAAATCCTGAATACCCAAAGAGAATTAATCTTTCTAAATCAACGTGTTATTTGCAGCGTTCAACTTCCCATAATATTTTTGTAATTATTATCGTTTATTGTTCTAATGATTGCTAATTAATTGCGATTGAAAATTTCACATAACCATGTAATTAACTGACCAGTTTCTCGTCCACAAGAACCTTGAGGTTGTCCTTCGCTCCCAAAACTTGGACTTCGAAAACCCCAGCTCTTCGTTCTGAAAAATTGAATAGAAAACCATTCGTTTGGAGCATTATTCTAAAATGGTATTTCTTTCTAGTCACTTTCAGTAAAATATGTACATTCTGCCTTAACACAGCTCAAACCTGAAGTTATCTTTGCGTTTTGGTTAAGGTAACTTGGTACATTTGTATTTAGAGACCACTGTGCTTGTAGAGTAATAGAGCTTTTACGGATTTGGATTTAAGACCAGTTCGATTTCAGTATATGCAAAATTCACGCAAATCTTTCTCACGGCTCCAATTTAATTGCAATTCCAATGCAAGAAAAACTCTTTGAAATTTACACTGCACCTATCGTTTTGTCGCTTCCTGCCTCATTCATTCTAAAGACCGTTTTTTTAATCTAGAGAAAATAATCATTCCAGATCATATCGGAACATAACAGTAACTTTTGTCGCTCTCCCGTCTCGAAAATTCGTCAGTCTTCTGATGTCCATCACCTGTGCCAGTCGATGCTCGCAGTTGGTGACGTTTCGACCTTGGCTGCATTTGACTCTACTTTTTACGCCGTGGCGGTATTTGACTCTACTTTGTACGCCGTGGCGGCATTTGACTCTGCTTTGTACGCCACTTGACTACTTTGTACGCCGTGGCGGCATTTGACTCTACTTTGTATGTCTACTTTGTACGCCACTTTACTCAACTTGTACGCCTCTCCACAAAGCCTTCCCTCCCGCCCTCCTCCACTCAGCTGCGGAAGATCTCGACCGCTGGTCTCGCCCATTCATCTGAGCAATGTGTGGACTACAGACGTGGCTATAGTGGGTGGCTTGGCGACTAGGATGCATTGTCTTCCTAGCATTTCCATACGCTGTAAATTTTGCCAGTCAAAATAGTTTTCTCGAGTTTTGACTAATTTTTAAATAAGATTACGGAACCTTTTTTTTTCATTAAAATCTGTATATTCAATTCTGGAGCCCGAGAGACTGATTTCTTGGGTAAGATTACGACAGTTGCTGATTAGTTAGATTATAATTGTTAGCTTTATTTTAGCGATAGCCATTCAAGCTGAATTATAGAATTTTACTATTATCTCCTGCTCAAATTTGTCACTAATTTTAGGTACTGTGGTCTCTTGAAGCTTGACTGGGAACTTATGGGAGCACCTAACCTCAGCTTGCCTACAGTGGCAGGAGTCTCCACCTGCGCTACATTGGTAAGGCAGGCTGAAATATGATGACGTTCGTCATAAATTCAATGCGACTTCGCATGTTATTGCGTTCAATAAACCCTCCTTTGACTGATTACTTTCTCAATCCCTGCCAGATTTTTTCTTCAAGAAGAGCTTTACTAAGTACTAGAACCTAATGCGAGTTTTGAAAAATTTCGTAGTAATTTTAACCACTTACCTGCAGGTAAAATGGTGAAAATATAGTTATTTTCTTTGCATCTGATCCTAATATCTCTAAAACTATTATTGAATTAACGATTGGTTTTGATTACAGTTCCGCTCGTGAGCGGTTAAAACGTTGATCTTAATTCAGCCAATTACAATTAATTATTCGCGAGAAATCCGTATAACGGTTCAACTTATTAAACCTCTTAACAGTTAGTTGATGAAGAAAAGTTTTATTTAAAAATGATCAAAGTATATGTTGTAAATTATCTACAGACTGCGGCGCTCACCAAGCAAACGTTTTTCTTCCGCTGGCTCCAGAGGTCTCAGGAAGCGGTCCGCTGGAATAAACGTAAAATTATTATTATTAATTAATTATTACCTCAAAATAAATTAATAAATAAAAAAAAATTCGACAACGACGTGCTGCGGAAAATAAAATTTATAGTTTTGTCTAGGTATGTAATTTTGATGGGTGTTGTTCCGGTAAAATAAGATCTGTTGAAATGTCCTAATTTTCGTATGGTAATGTGGTTACATATACATCGAAATCAGATAATTTTGCCGATTTTTTCTATGAGAATACAATCCAATTGGTAGTTATGCTGGAAAAAATATAGATTTCTATAATTTTAAATCTGTTCAGGGACTGAAAATAAATGTTTTCATGTTAATATTCTATGTTTGACAACGTACATTTTAAATTTTTTTTCAGTCAGTACCATATTTCACCAATCAATATCTGCGTTTCTTGGGATAGAAAATATTTGAGACTCTCTCTAGCAAATAATCCTCTCAGCTAGCATAATAATTCTACTTGGAAATGAATCCTAATTGAAAAACTAACTTTTAATATAAATTTGATCATTGAGTAAAAAATCAGGGACTGCTCATTTGTATTCTTTATTCAGTCGTAGTTTTAGAACCGAATTTGTATTCCTCGATGCAAGTTAGTCTTCACAAGCCTCAAGATTCCGGGGGAAATCTAAAAAATATCAGGTATCGTTAATATCCCGACACAGTATGTATTTAAGAAGCGCGATTGCTTTGCTCCTGCAGTGTATTACAATATAACTACACAAATAATCAAAATGCTCCTAAATGTATAACATTATATAAATGACATCTCACCGTACAGTTTACGCCAGTGGTCCGGCAAGACGCTCTTCTTGGGCTCATGTCGTAATGTGTTCCTTATGTTTTTATTTATATTGTTATTTAAATGGCTATATATGTTGTCGAGGTAACTTCTGTTTTTTATTTTGAAGTGATTGTTGTTGATATTTCTTATGAAATTGAACGCAATATTACTATTAGTATCATGTTTATTTGCATAAGTCTGTTGTTCTATCAGATTATCTTCATCTTTCTCTATAAACGATGGTTTGTGGTTCATCGTCGTTGTTCTTCTCATTGTAAGCGACAGGCAAACGAAATGTTTCAACGTAACGTAGAGAAAAAAATATGTATGATGCACCCTCATTTTCTTACAGGTACGTTCACAATGCTAACTTAAATTGGTTT